ACGATATAACCCGTGATATGTTAACAAAGTATAGCCGGAGATCTCATTGTTATAACTGCATAAGGATTGTGTTTGTGATAAATCAATAGGAAATAGGAACAAATACTGCAATTATTACTTTTGAACCTTCAACCAATCACAGTTTCGCTTTGATGTGTTTTAGGTGTGTTCAGACTAGAGACTAAAACAGGGAAGCTTCATCGTGTCAATATATTTTCATATAACAAGATTTTTTTATAATATAACATAAAAAAAATCATGATTTTGAAACTACAGTAAACTACTAGTAAATATTTTCCATTGGAGATGAAGAAAACAAATATACGAAAAAAATCTAAATAATGTTATTAAGTTCTTGGAGACGTTTCGACAATTATTGACAATAATCAAATGTCGTTTGGGCTCTGAAAGCAACTTTAAAACATTGTGTAATTGTGAAATAATGAAGTCACTTCCGGTGACGTTTGTTTCTATAACGACATTGATGATAATATCAACCAAAGCGTCTCAAGAGTTTAATATCATTATAATTTTAAATGGTGATATAGATATGCAATGCTAACAATATAATGTATATATAAGTAACACAATAACGTACGTACATTCACTTGCTAAGACGATGTCATCACCCTATCGACATTTTATATCGGTTTCGACCGATTGGGAAATTTTAGATATTAACATGATAGTCAATGGATATTTATCAATCTGTCCATTTACATCGTAATGCATCTAACTCTATTTTTATACAGAGGACCAGACACTTGCATGTCTTTTTATGATTTTTATCTTTATCAATAAATAGATTTTTTGATGTCGTTGTTTATGTTGTTTGTCGCGTTTATTCAAGAGCAATGGGAAAATACGTTCAAATAAAGCTTAATCCAAATTTGAAGTCGATTGAAAGATTTGCATGGCGATCTTTGAAAAAGAATACGAGAAGTATTTCAGAAAGGTACGTAAGCATTTCATTCGATAACATCAGCCGTGTACACTTCAATCTATCCAAGTACGCACATAACAAGACGAGGTACTCCGGTAAGATAAGCACCTTCTTTTTTAACATTGAAATGCTTAGTTTACATATGACTGCATATGTAACATTTTATACAGATGTATACGGTTAAGATACAGGATGTTCATGCTTCATGGTTGACACATATCTACACATTCAACCAAGAGCAGTTTACATGTAACTGCAAATTGTTCTTGGAACAGCAGTCAAAATAATAATGTAAAGAATTTTTACGGCTGTTAAGTCGATCCAGGACTGCATATGATTATAGAAAAAATGCATTGTTATCATACTTATTATTTCATGATTTACTTAGAATCGTACAGCTACATACGACTTCAGTTTTCATACCTAGCGCCATAAAATTTACTGAGGGTTGTACAGCCTTACATTCCATAGTTTGCCTATGACGTTCGCATATAACACAATATGTACGTTTCACATATGATTGCATATTAAAATGGCACTTATAGGTATAACAAATATCCATTAAATATATTCAAGTTGTCAGTGAAAAATTCCAAATTTTCGGACGACAAAGCGAGTCAGCTGTGATATATTGGACACATTATTATTTATCACAATAAAGCTTGGTATCTTGTACGATTCAATTAAGGTCTTCCGGAATAAAAAGAACTGCAGCTGTGTGAATCACCTGCGAAGCTCGATCTTTACATCACTTAGACAATAAATGACCAACTTCCCACTGAGCTGTTGGTTTTTCTTATATACACTTTTCACATTCCTTTTTATACGTAGTTACATATCTGCTTCCATAGCCACTGTTCTAACCGCCAATTGATTTCTTAAGACGGTTCTAATTTTGAGAACTGGGTATTGCATCCACCAAGCTTAATTTGTATGGCGGCTGTCAATAACGCATGATTTTATTGAAGGTCTGTTCTTATTTCCTTTGTACTTTCCACAAAGTTCTTCCCTATTGCCTTGATTTTCATCATTGTTTTAAAGATATAATAACGGTTTTCATTACACCTAGGTATTATTCACATAAATTTAAACTGGTTGTTATTTGACATCCAAGCAGTTTTGTAAAATCATCATCCGACATACGGTTAATTTATAAATTATGTTTTGATCGTAAAAACAGGAAGTGACATGTGTTAAGCCATGGTATATTTCGACGACATACTGCGACAAACATCTATTGAAAAGGAGCTAAAAATTGTCCCGGAAAAACTTTATGGACAGTGTATCTAGAACAAGGCCTTAAATGTTCTCCTTTTAAACAATACAAATCAGAATCTGTTTCCCGCAGGTACGCTGCAAATGTACCGAATCCGCTATTCGTAAGAATAAGAGCATCGCACTTCACTAATGTGAAGAAATCTAAGAACTGTTTCAGAAATCCCGCGCGTGGATCATTTCTACCCTTTTGATCAATATGTGTAATTTTTCCTGGAGTGTCAATTATGTTCTTAGGATAACGGTTCTTCGCTACATTCTTCATTTCATTTGCGTCTGATGCAATGAAGAAGTCATATTCCGATTTGTTCAATTTATCAAAATATTTCCATACATCATCGGTTGGAATTTTAGGTCGTCGGTCGTCGTACGGCATATTCTTATTTCCTCCTACACGTATATGAGCACAAGCTATCTTTGGTCTTTTCCGATATTTTTTCTGTAGCTCGTTTAATGCATTGCCAAGAAGAGGTGATGGTTTGAAGAAGAAATGAAACAGCTCCTTATACATATCGGCATAATGTAATTTTGTAACCCAAGCAACTTCATTTCCTATATGTGGTCTTTTTCTAAATTCATTTGTAAAATCCCAGTTAACACGAAGAAAGCTAACATCATCGTGAAAGTAATTGTTGATGTCAAGACTTCCGTTCAAATATTTCCTTAGTTTTTCAGATTTACGTGCGCTAAGATCTTGATAAGATTTTGTTCTGTTGAGAAGAATTGATCGGTTAAATCGCCAATCGAAATGAGCGGGGATTAGATAATCTTCTAGAGGGCATGGTTTATCATGGTTGATCAGTAAACGTCGATTGGTAAGAAGAGCCATGATCAGGGTGGAAAGAATTCCTGAAAGTCGGTCAGACCAACCACCACAAACACCGCTGTTGGCCTTGCTGCAGTCGTATACGATGTATTTCTGTTTTAGATCAGCAGCTGTTGTTAGAAAGGATTGTCCAATATGTCCTTTAAGATAAAGTTTTTCATTTTTTCTTGTGGTACCATAAGATTGTTCCTGAATTAGAATGGTGTCGTTGTTATATATGAGGTGCTTGTAAGAGTATCCAAGCAAAAGGCTCATGACTGCTAAGGACACCCACAGTACTACGATTAGCCAACATCCACATCGGACCTGCAATTTAAGATACATCTAGTTTACAAAATGTTGACGCAAAAGTCAAATTGAGACTCAAAACGTATCTCAAGATCTGACATAATACATTAAAAGGATTTTAAAGGGTTTTCCGTTAAATGTCATATAAATTTCAAAATAGCAAAATATCTGTATTCTTCGCGATGGCAAAACACCATTGATGAATGTAGATATATATGGTATTGAACGGGAAACCAGTGAATTCTCCTTTTATTGCATTTTCTAACGAAAAACAAATGCAAACAAAACATAAAAAGTGACATTAAAAACATTCGTTGATACAATATTGTTATAATTAATATATATATATAGCCGAACGCTGGAGATCCTGAAGTTACCTCTTTCCAGTTAAGATTCGCACCTCGTGCGTGTGAAACAACGCATATCATTAAATAGAGTCGTGAACATCGGTCTTAACTTATTGTCGGTCTTTTTAACATAATTTAATTAGGTCATTTTTGTTGGACGTCTGTGGATTGTAATGTCTGATGATATTTTCATGAAGACATTTTCATTGCTGTATTATTATACATCATATACATATGTACGTCGATAAAAAGACCTTCGTGAAGTGGGATGAACATGCTGACACATTACAAGAGACATTCTTTCATGAAAACAGTACGTTTTATTGAATTGACTTCCCTGATAAATCAGTTTTATTCAGTCATAAAAAGTATTATTTCAAATATATGTCTGCTGTCACCGGCTGCCATTTGTATACGATAATAACAAAAAATCCACATTGATATTGGAAACAGAGAATTTGAGTTCGTGTATTGTATTGTATATTGTCGGATGGTGTTAAATGAATTTATCATAGTTACGTGGAGACTGTTTGTAAACAGAAGCACGTGTTGGTTAGAATGAAGAGGTGTGACATTCAGGGTCAAGGGTTAAGCAGGACCAATCAGGGATTGGTTGTGGCAGAGTTTTGGAGGTCTCGTGCAAGTTAATATGCACGTGCTGTTAGTTTAATACAGGGTTTTAGGTGTTTATTGAATAGTCATTCGAGCCTTCGCGGTCATAGAAAACACTTGATTTAACATAAGCGATTCCGAAGACAATTCTGCTGTGAAAGTTATCGCTGTTGACCCTCCTCAGCTGTCTGCACGTGGTGACAGTGGAGTTAAAAGAGACATTTGACCTATTCAAAAGTTATCTACAAACCCAATAAGCTTCATTAAAACGGGAATTAACTGAGCAATGTGAAGATATCTCTGAAAGTACGACCAAAAAGTTGAAAGAGGATAGTTCTGTTAAGCTGAAAAGAATCGGTAATAAGTTGATATTTGACTTCAATAAGGACATTTAAACTAAGATAAATGGTCTTGACAAACCAGTGAAAAAGCGCAGAAGTTATCGGATATTATCAAAGAAAAACTTCGGAAACATAATAAACTAATTAGGTTAGCTGACAAATCAGCAGCCGGTTGGAATACTACGTGAGTACGAGTCCGATGAACTAGCGTCAGACTCTGAAGACGAAAAGCGCATTAGAAAAGCTGAGTCACGTGCCCTCAGGAGTATTAAAAGCAGGAAAAATGAGAGTGCTAATCACCACAGGTCCTTTACTTCTACTGGTCATATTCCTGACGGGAGAGTCTCTGGGAAAGGCACCTACGTAAGGAGAGGGTAATCTTTTTCATCTACTGCACGAGAACAGACGTCTTTCGTCCCTACAGTGTTGGCCAAGGTTCTAAACGCTTCGGCGGACAAACCCCACCCACACACACACACACACACTTAACACACACCCTTACGCAGGAAACGTTCCCTCCGGAGTCAAGGAGGGCACCAAATGATTTCTGTGAAAGGGCGTCTTAAGAATCATTTAGACATTTGGAAATGCTCACAGTCATATCCTTAACGAAATAGAAAATGGTTACGTCATACCCTTTACTGCCATGCCTCCTATGAGTTTTACATGTAACAATAGGTCAGCGTTAGAGTTTGCAGATTTTGTATCAGAAGCTATAAATGATTTTGTAAATAATCAGTGTGCTGTTGAAGTTACTTTTTGTCCCCATATCGTCTGTCCCCTGACAGTACCTATTAATAAATCTGGTAAAAAAAGTCTTATTTTAGACCCCCGGAAAGTAAATAGTTTCCTTATTAAAGACAAAGTTAAGTTCGAGGACGGGAAAATAGCCCTGGAATTCTTTACAAGTGGTTGTTTCATGTAAAAGTTTTATCTTAAATCCGGATGTCACCATATTGATGTTACTCCGGCTCATCAGACTTATTCAGGGTTTGCTTGGAACGATAGGTAGTATTGTTTCACACTTTTACCTTTTGGGTTGACTTGGTCACCTTACATTTTTACAAAATATCTTCGTCCTCTAGTTAAACATTGGCGATCTAATTTGGTTGATATTGCAGTGTATCTTGATGGTGGCTGGGGTTGCGCAGCTTATTTTGACGATAGTGTATTTAACTCGAAATGTGTTCACGATACATTGGGTAGTGCTGGTTTTATGGTAAATATAGAAAAAAATCTATCTGGCAGCCAACATAGAGTCTAGAGTGGTTAGGAATTTCATGGTCAGCAGTTGATTTTTCTATCATTATTCCAAATCCCTAGATGCAGTGTATGTGTGTGCTAGAGAAATTGCTCAGGTTACGGGAAGAGTAATCTCCCTTCCCCCATTGGTCGGTAATACCTGTCGACTTATGACGAGATTTTTACAAGTCGTTATTTTAAATAGACGTAGCTGGGATAGCTGTAGCAAAATATCATCAGATGACAAGTGTGTATCTGAATTATTTTTCTGGAAGAATAATTTAGACTGGCTAAACATTAGACATCTGGCTGAATTCAAAATTCCTTCAGTTTTTGTATATTCAGATGCTAGTAGTGTAGCTTGTGGTGCATATATTATTGACTCACCGCATAATGTTTTTCACAAGACTTTTTCACAAAGCGAAAGGCCTAAGAGCTCCACTTGGAGAGAGCTTAGTGCTATTGAGTTGGCTTTAGACACGTATAGTGATATTCTTAAGAGAAGAAGTGTTAAATGGTTTACGGACAGCCAAAATTGTGTAAAAATAATTGCGAGTGGTAGTATGAAAATGGATTTACATATTATCTCCTGTAATATTTTAAATGTATGTGCTACTAATGGAATATTTTTAGATGTTCAGTGGATTCCCAGGGAGAAGAACGAACAAGCGGACTATATTAGTAAAATCATCGATTACGAGGATTGGGGTGTAAGTGTAAAAGTATTCCAACTTGTTAATTCCTGGTGGGGCCCACACACTGTTGACCGGTTTGCTGATTGTCAAAATAAAAAAAATCACAGATTTAAGTCTAGATTTTGGAGATTCTGAGTCTGTTGATGCCTTTGCTCAAGACTGGCCGGGTGAGACTAACTGGTTAGTCCCACCAGTTTCCCTCGCTGTGAAAACCATTGAATATTTGATTTGTTGTAGGTATAAGGGTACCCTCATTGTTCCAAAATGGGTTTCAGCTTCCTTTCGGACTTTCATTTTTGATAAGATGACTGTTCGTAAAGCTTATGTAGAACATGTTTATGAATTTAAAGACGGAAGTCGAATTTTTGTTCAAGGTTTAAATCAAAATTCAATTTTAGAAAGTGGTGAACTTTCTGGTCATGTGCTAGCGATCAGATTGAATTGTACTAATTGCTGATATTGATCAATGCTGGATGTTTACACATGCTCCATATTTGATATTGGTTGATGGACCATAAGTACACTTGTGCAACTATGTGTGTGGGTGTTCCATTTGAAGGAACCGGTGCTCCATTTGAAGGAGTAGGAATCCATTTGAGAGATTCGGAGCCCCAGCTGACGGGGTGATATAAAACGTTATTGCTTAAAAATTATTTTCAGTTAAACAAGATTTTCTTGCTTAATTACCTTGTTTTTTGTTTTTACGATTTTCAGATGTATTTTCTGTGGGGATTTGAAATAATTCCAGTGTTTACGTATCTGACGCTCGTTTTGCGACTTTGGCTCAACAACTACCGGAAATCGTTCTGCAATCTCGTGCACCTAATGCCACTTCTAAATATAAATCTGCATTTAACAAGTCTTGTGCTTTGTATAATAACTTTGGATTGAATCCTCTTCCTGCCAAGGATTTCGACGTAGCTTTATGTCTTACAGATGTTTTGAAAAATCATCCATCTGTGTCGTTTTTTATTCCAAAGGTTGGGTGCATGATATTTCTGGTTTTCCCAATCTATGTAAATCTCCGTAGGTTAAAAGTACACTGGAGGGAGCACGTAGGATTTCAACCATACAGACTGTTTAAAAGGAACCAGTAACCCCGGAAATTATTAGGTCATTAGTAGATCAATTGGGTGGCCCGAATGCTGATTTGCCTACGTTACGGGTTCTATCTATGGTACTGATAGGGTATTCTGAATTTCTAAGATTTAGCGAATTAGAAGATCACATTTAGGCTTTAATGAAAATCATTTGTCAATTTCTATTCCAAAATGTAAAACAGATGTTTATAGGGAAGGTTCAGATCTTAAGGAACGGATCAGTGTTACCAAGATTACTTGGCCTTTGATTTTGGGGTAATTGTTTATCTTTTATTCCATCTTTGTCAATCGAAAATGTTGGACCGTAGATGGCCACTCCCATATATAGTTGTGGTGTTTTATATGATAAATGTTTTTATGTTCGGTTGAATAAAGTGAATTAGCGCATAGGGCTATTATATTCCGTTTTTATTGACTTTCGGATTTGATTAAAGAAAATTTTAATAATTCATGGTATATTTTATGAATAACAATTGTTGTTTGAATAACTTGTGAAAAAAGAATATACCTATTTCAGTGAAAACTACAGATAATTGTGGAAATCGTTAACATTTTACGGAATAGCATGCCAAGTCACATGAAGCGACTCACCGCTGCGTGAAAAACCCTCGCAGTTTCCTTTGCTGCCAA